CCCTGCTCTGAACCTGACCAGGGGCTGCACCTAGGGATTGGGCGTGCCCTCTGCCACCCGGGAGCAGGCCTAAGCCAGCAGGTTGTTATCTACCGAGGGGTCCCAGACTGCGAGATGGCATAGGCCGGGCTGGGGGACACCCCTCCCCCTCCGCGAGTGCACAAATTTTTGTGCACCGGGCCTCTAGTGTTATGATAAAAAGAAAAGCAAGATAAAAGAATAAACTTGCCTTTTGGCAACAGGCACAATTAAAACCCTATTCTAGATACTGTAAATACATAAGAGAAAAACAAACAAGGGCTTAGGGTATTTTAAATTCTACCCTTTTATTTCCATACTCTTTCGAAGTAAAACTCTGGTCTTGCTCCAGATCCCATTGTCACCCCCACCCGGGTATCGCAACTTCACTTATTACCATTCCAATCTCTAATCTGGTCATCAATCATTCTCTCCTTATTGGCTCTAAAGTTTCTTTCCCTCTCCCTTCAAACTTCACTGGTCTCATTAAAAAAAAAAAAAGTGATAAAACAAATCCTCCTCTTGATTCTAATTCAATACATATTTATTTCTCTTCTATTATCAAACTTCCAATTCTTCTATTGCGTAATTCAGTTTTTGTACTTTCTAATCACCTACCCTTTTGTTTAAAATTTGGAAATTCAATTTTAATTACCTTTACTTTCATGTATCTTTACCCTTAAAAGGCATTTGTGATTTCCTAGTCACCATATATGATGATCTTTGCACCATGGCTCCTATTATCACCGTCTGAGGTCAACATTTATTAGCTCTAACTCTGTGCCAAATACGAAATACTAAATACACACATGAATTAAGCAGAGATTCTGATATCAAGAGGCTACTATTCCAAGAGGGAGGCAGGCATAGAAATACATATAATATGAGTGATAAACAGCAGAACTAGGTACAAGATATAGAACTAATATAGACAGGAGGAAGGAATTTGTTCTATGAAGAAGAATACTTCAGAGAAAAGGAGTCTGAACAAAGTTTTGAAACATGAATAGAAATAAACTGAGAAGATGAACTGGGAGAGGGGAAGGGGTTTCTAGATAAAGGTAAGAGCATAAACAAAAGAATATATGTAAGGAAAAACACAGTGTTGCAAAAAACTGATAGTTCAGTTTCTAAAACATACATAATGAAACTCCTTAGAGCAGTGGTTTTCAACCTTCTGGCCTTTTAAATATAGTTCCTCATGTTGTGACCGAACCATAAAATTATTTTCGTTGCTACTTCATAACTGTAATGTTGCTACTGTTATGAATCGTAATGTAAATATCTGATATGCAGGATGGTCTTAGGCGACCCCTGTGAAAGGGTCGTTCGACTGCCAAAGGGGTCGCGACCCACAGGTTGAGAACCGCTGCCTTAGAGTGTTATAGGAGATGAAGAGAAGTAAATGAAGGCTAGTCACAAAAGGAGGTTGACTTTTATTCTTTATGTGACTGGCAGCTTTTGACAGGTTTTAAGCAAGGGAGTGACATACTCAGATTCATGTTGAGAATTATCATTCTAGTGACAGAAGGAAGGATGTAACACTGGAGATAGGGATATAAATAATGACTACCACAATAAAGATAATAAAGAAAAAAAGACATCACCAATAAGGATAAATATATATATGTTCAGAATTATAACTGAGATATGAGGAAAGGGATATAATACAAATATAATTTTTTTTTTAAATTTTGAGAAAGGTTCAGTGGATCTGCACATTGAAGGGTCCCAGGTTCGATTCCAGTCAAGGGCACATGCCAAGTTGCGGGCTCGATCCCCAAGAGGGCATGCAGGAGGCAGCTGATCAATGATTCTCATCATTAATGTTTCTCTCTCTCCCTCCCTACAATCAATAAAAATATATTTTTTTAAAAATAGATAAAATAAAGTTAAAATTTCTCATTGATATGTTATCTACAGAAGACTGCTTACCTAATTTTCTAATGACAAAGAGGACAGAGGACATTAAAAAAAAAAAAAAAAAAAAAACCCCTGGCCCTGGCCAGTTGCTCAATGGTTAGAGCATGGGCCTATGCATCAAAGGGATCTTGGTTGGATTCCTGGTCAAGGGCACATACCTGGGTTGCAGGTTTGATCCCTGGCCTTGTAGGCACATGTGGGAGGCACCCAATCTATGTGTCTCTCACATCAATGTTTCTATCTCTCTCTCTCAAAATTAATGAAAAAAATATCCGAGTGAAGGTTAATAAAAATAAATGAATTACTTTTACATCTAAATAATCACAATTTTCATAAAAAGTAACATAATTATCTCTCCTTGGCAAAAAACAAAAAGTAAACTGATTAACATTATTTCTAGTTAGTATTAATAAATCATGTTAATTTTGTAGGAGTCATTGAAAGCTATTGGTAATAATGCTTTGTTTTATTCAGTGTTCCCCTAAGCAAGTAAAGGCTTTTGAGCCAATAGAATTCTCTGTCATTCCACCCCATTAGAGGATCATAAAAGAGAATAAATAATAAGCCAAAAGACATATAATCGTATCCTATATAATAAAACCCTAATATGCAAATTGACTGAATGGTGGAACGACTGGTCGCTATGACACGCACTGACCACCAGGGGGCAGGTGCTCAACGCAGGAGCTGCCTCCTGGTAGTCAGTGCACTCCCACAGGGGGAGCACTGTCTAGGCAAAAGCTGGGCTCATGACTGATGAGCACAGCAGCGGTGGTGGGAGCCTCTCCCGCCTCCGCTGCAGGCAGGCAGTAAGGAGCAAGGGGTCCTGGACTGCGAGAGGGTGCAGGCTGGGCTGAGGGAACCCCTTCTCCCCCGCAGTACACAAAATTTCATGCAATGGGCCTCTAGTTTCTGATAAGGAAGATGAACAAATCAGAAGCTTAATTTGCCTACCGTAAAGGGTATGGAGGTTAAGTGGCTAGAAGAGTTAAGTGGCCACACAAAGGCTCTGGGCCATATTCACTATCAGATTTAAACTTATGCTACTTCATCCTGCTCTTCTGTATCTCTACCATAAGAAAGAATGGGAATTTGCCAAGCTCATCCATGGCTGGGGAAGAGCCATTAATATCTCACCCACTCTCAGTTACAACCACCACAAGGAATAGAAAAGCCAGGGGCCATGAGAGAATAATTTGTTCCAGGAACAAAGGTAAGAAAAAGGGATGGGTACTTAATGCTGCTTCTTCTTTTGATTATAATACTCTATATGTTCCATGTTCCTTTTTTCTTTCTTAATTTCCTGATGGAAAGAGGTTTGATTCAGCAATATCACGCAAGTTGGCTACGGAGGATGACCTGGATGACCAGAAGGCATTCTGCACTTACAGATACATATGATCAAAGAAAAATGGCTGATATCACAGGGTTCTCAGATCACACAAACTTACCTCTAGGTGTTCCAAGTTGTTTGTTCTTTGAACAAGCACATTATCTTTTTGCAAGATGTCCCTGTACTTAGCAGTCAATTCATTGTATTGTTTATTGGCCAATTCTAGTTCAGACAGAGAAACACTATTATCCATAACTTTTTGGAGAGCAGCAATCTTGAAAATGGCCATCTCCTATGTAAATAAGGATACAATCAGTTAAATTAATGTACTGTTTCTTTTGGTGAGGCACTAGCCACTTTTGAGAAAGATAAGATAATACAATCAAAAACAAAAGAGGCTTTGAGATTAATTTTAAAAATAAGATTTCTCAAAAAAGAAAAAGAATAGATTTTTCATGTAAGAAAAATATTGCAATAATAATCATTTTTTTTCATATAACAAATCATCTTATTTGGAATTTTTAATCATAATAAAAATAAAGTGAATCCTTTTATAACTCATCATAATAAAATAAAATTCAGTTAATTTGAGCAAAATAAAAGAAGCAGCAGGAAAATACATAATTTAGACTATCTTTCGCTGGCTTTTCTAAATTTCATAAAATTAAAAAAATAACTTCTCTTTTGATAACTGGATGGCAAAATTAGCATTGCCACAAGTAACCTTTACAGCTTAGATATTTCTGGTTATCATAGTTACAAAGACTAACTGTAATAAAATATTTTTTTGTTCACAGAAAGGAAACATTAATTAAGAGAAAAGAGTTATCTTTATCATATCTATCTATAATAAATAATATTAAAATTTTTAAGTTACTTGGCTCATGTTCTACTCATTAACTACACAGCTAAAAAAGTCACAATTCAAATACATAGTTTAACACCAAAAAAAAAAAATCTAAACTTTCAGTTTTCTTCAAGGTAAGTTGATAAAGAAGTAGGGCAAAAAACAACTAATTTTATGAAGTGAAAAAGATAAAGAATTTATAGTTATAATTCATTCTGAAGTAGAGTAGTAAGGAAATCAAATATTTGTAACGGTGCTTCAGATCTTATTTTGACAACCTTTCTTCTCCATGTAAATAAGTATACACTATTCTACAATACCCTTGAGACTTGTTTTCACTTTTTCTTTGTGGAGGGTGAGGGAAGTTATGCTTCAGATCCCTTTTAAAGTCCCTTTTTTTTGTTTTATTTTGTTTTTTTAATTGTTGAAAAAAAAAATCCAGGTTGAACAATCAGGTTAAAGAGGAATAAAATTCTAGTTCTTTTTTCCCTTATATCTTATACACCAGCTGTATTTGTAATACCTCAATAAAAGTATATTCTACAAAATCTAATGCAAAAATAAAAACAAGAATACTTAAGTGCTAATATTTTCTTATAATATGTCCAAGTAAAAATAGCTTTTATTTTCAACAGGTTTTTTTGTTGCATCATGATTCAGCTTTAAGATTACATTAAAAATAGGGTTCTTAGCATAATAATTTCACCCATTACTATATTTAAAAGGGGATGATAAGGAACTCAAGTTCATTTTAATTTTACTTTGAATTCTTCTGTTTATATGATGCTACGTAAATTTAGACATGTCAACTGAGCATACACATGCTTAAAATAAGCTACATTGCCCTAGCTGGTTTGGGTCAGTGGATAGAGCATCGGCCTGTGGACTGAAGGGTACCAGGTTCGATTTCAGTCAACGGCACACACCCAGGTTGTGGGCTCGATCCCCAGTGGGGGACGTGCAGGAGGCAGCCGATCAATAATTCTCTCTCATAATTGATGTTTCTATCTCTCACTCCCTTTCTCTTCCTCTCTGAAATCAATAAAAATATATTTTTTAAAGAAGCTACATAATAAGATCAGATTTAGAACAAGGTGCAGAGGAGTACATATAAGCAGGTAACATTTTGTGTCTTTGTTAACATTTGCAAAATGAAACATTAAAAGGATAATCAGTTACATATAGGGGGTAAAAGGTATAGGGTCAGAAGATTTCTCTGACTGACTTTTTTTGAATATGCAAATACTTCTATATTCAAATTCAACTTAAAAAAGGAAAAAAGCAATCCCTGAAATAAAAAACAAATGAGCTTCAATATATATTAAACTAGAGGCCCAGTGCACGAAATTCTGTACCCTCTCCAGCTTAGGCCTGCTCCCCACTGGCAAGTGGACATCCGCCAAGGGCTCCCAGGCTGCCAGAGGGATGTCTGACTGCCAGCTTAGGCCCGATCCCCCGAGGAGTGGGCCTAAGCCAGCAGTTGGACATCCCCCGAGGGGTCCCAGACTGCGAGAGGGCACAGGCCAGGCTGAGGGACACCCCCCTCCCGAGTGCACAAATTTTTGTGCACCAGGCCTCTGGTCACTTATAAAGCAAAAAACATTACTTACAAAGTATTTTTGTCAAAAATATTTAACCTGCATATAACCAAGGCTTTCAGGGTAACTTTAGCAAATGCAATGGATAGAGAAACAAGTAGAATTATGCAAAAAAAGAAAATAATTATTATTATACTGGTGCATGAAAAATCAAGCACTGGAAGCGGGGGTCCCTCAGCCCAGCCTGCCCCTTCTCACAGTCTGGGAGCCCTCAGGGGTGGGAGGCGACCCGGGGATCAGGGGAAGGTGATGCCCCATCACACCTCTGCTGTTGCCCTTGCCGGCAGCACAAGTCTCGGCCAGCCCTGGTTACCTGTGCCTCAGGCCAGCCCTGGGTGGCTGGGGGGCTGAGGGGACTGGGGGACTCTGGAGGCAGGTGGCAGAGCAGCCAGGCCCGCCTAGGGGCAGGTCTAGCCTTGGTGCGCGCCTGCCACCCCAGCGGGGCTGAGGGGACTGGGCGCCACCATCTTGTGGTTGTGGGCGCCGTCATCTTTGAGGGCATGGCAGTCAATGAGCATATTCCCTCCTTATTGGCTGTGGGCGCCTCCCTCTTTGAGGGTGTAACAGTCAATTAGCATATTTACTCCTTATTGGCTGTGGGCGCCACTATCTTTGCAATGGTGTGAGGTTCAATTAGCATATTCTCTCTTTATTAGATAGAATAAATCATCAACATTTTTCAGAGAGAAAAAAACTATGGGATTCTATATTAAAAAGACATGTAACATTAAAAAAAAATGCAAGGTCCTTAACTGAATCCTAGGACAACTAAGTAAATACAAATATTGTCTGGACATTAGATTATATAAGGAATTCTTATCAATTTTAATAGGTGTAATAAAGTTATAGTGGTTATGTCAAAACAGTTTTGATTTTAGTGATGCACGCTAAAATACTTAGGAGAGAAATGTCTGTAACTTAAAATACTCCTACAAAAAATAGAAGCAATTATGGCACAGTGGTAATAAATGTTAGCTATTAATCCAGATATTAGGTGTTCATTATACTATCCTTTCTTCTTTATGTTTGAAAATTTTCAAAGATAAATATTCAGATATACCTTAAATCGTTGTAAACGTCCAATTTTTTCACCAACTTCAGCTTCCATTGATATCAATTCATTCTTCTGTTTGTCATTTTCTTTTCTAAGTTGGTGCTCCATTTCTATTAAAGTAGTATATTGTCTTATGAGTGACTTTTCATTGACTTGCAAGACAGTGATTTTTCTACTATAATCGGAAAGTGTTCTTTTCATTTCATCTGAATCCATCTGAAGAGTGCTGAGCAAGTTCTGCACAAAGACACATTTACATTACTTGTTAATTTTAGCTATCTTAGTTTACACAATATCATATATATTCCCTCATGTGAAAGAATCATTGATCTGCTGCCTTCTGGACGTCACCCACAGAGGATCCAGCCCCCATGTGCACTGACCTGGAATTGAACTATGACCTCCGGGTTCATGGGTAGACGCTCAACCACTGAGCAACTCAGGCCAGGCTACAATATCGTACATGGACTTCAAAAATGTTTTACTTACATTATATTCTTTTACTTTTATAGCATCTTGTTGAATTTGACTATCAAGTTTTTTCTTTTCCTCTTTCATTGTTTCAGATTCTGTTTTCCAGGTCTCCTTTTCACTAAAAAAATAAAAATAAAAATGACAAAATGCTAAACCTAATAAAATATTTACCGCAGGAAGAGAAAATGTCTCATAAAACAAGAGTCCCTAGTCTCAGTGGTTGAGCGTCGACCTATAAACCATGTCACAGTTCGATTTCATCAGGGCACGTGCCTGGGTTGCAGGCTTGATCCCTAGCAGGGGACGTGCAGGAGGCATCCAATCAATGATTCACTCTCATAATTAGTGTTTCTATTTTTCTCTCCCTTCCTCTCTGAAACCAATTAAAACGTATTTTTAAAGAGTCACTGTAGCTACTCAGTACCTAATAAGAACATCAAAATTCTCTTCAAAAAAAGATTTAGCCTGAAAGTGACATTTCATGTAATAAATGAAAGGTAAAAAAATTATTTTATCAATCATTTCCATTATAACATGAATCATCACCCTAAAATTGTACCAATATAACAATTGCTGCTGAATCTTATAAACATTTTATTAAAAATAGAAAATCATTAGGAAAACAGACAATCCCTCAAACTAATTCTGGAAATCAAGTCTCAATATTCTGACCCTACTCTTAAACTTGAGTGTTAAATATTTGCAAAATATTTAGAATATAAATCAAATTAGAAATCATTGGACGTAAAAGAAGACAGTATGGAGTTTCCTCAAAAAATTAAAAATGGAACTCCCATTTGACCCAGTAATCTCATTTCTAGGACTATATCCCAAGAAACCAGAAACACCAATCAGAAAGAATATATGCACCCCTATGTACATAGCAGCACAATTTACAATAGCTAAGATTTAGAAACAACCTAAGTGCCCATCAGCAGATGAGTAAATTAAAAAACTTTTGGTATATCTACTAATGGAATACTATGCCGCTATAAAAAAGAAGGAACTTTTACCATTTGCAACAGCATGGATGGAATTGGAGAGCATTATGCTGAGCAAACTAAGCCAGTCAGAGAAAGATAAATATCATATGATCTCACTCATATGTGGGATATAATGATCAACATAAACTGATGAATAAAAATAGATCCAGAGACAAATGGCGGGGGAGGGGGGGGAGGGAGGATTAGAGATCAACCAAAGGACTTGTATGCATGCATATTTGCATAACCAATGGACACAGACACTGGAGTAGTTGGGGCTTGCCCTCGGGGGTGGGAGTGGCTGGGGGGTCAATCGGGAAAAAGGAGACATATGTACAATGTTAAACAATAAAAAAAAAAAGATGTGCCACAGGCATAAAGAATAAAAATGGCAACAAATAGGTACCTATCAATAATAACCTTAAATGTAAATGACTTAAATGCTCCAATCAAAAGACAGAGAGTAGCCCTAGCCAGTTTGGCTCAGTGGATAGAGTGTCGGCCTGCAGACTGAAGGCACCCTGGTTCAATTACAGTTAAGGGCAATATCCAGGTTGTGGGCTCAATCTCAGGAGGGGGCGCACAGAAGGCACCCGATCAATGATTCTCTCTCATCATTGATGTTTCTCTCTCTCTCTCCCTCTCTCTCTCTTCCTCTCTGAAATCAATAGAATTATTTAAAAAAAAAAAAAGACATAGGGTAGCTGAATGGATAAGAAAACATGACCCATGTATATGCTGTCTATATAGACCAACTTTGGAACAAAAGATTCACACAGGATGAAAGTGAAAAGATAGAAAAAAAATTGTCCATGCAAATGGAAATGAAAAAAGCTGGGGTAACAATATTCAGATCTGACAAAATAGACTTCAAAAAATGCCATAGTAAGACAATGAAGGCTACTTCATAATACTAAAGAGATGGATCCAAAAAGATGACATATCCCTGGTAAACATATATGCACCCAATACAGGAGCACCCAAATATATAAAAAAAATTTCTGGAGGATTTTAGGTGAGAGATTGACAAGAATACAATCATAGTAGGGGACTTTAATAAACCACTAGCATCACTGGATATATCTTCTAGACAAAAAATCAACAAGGAAACAGTGACCCTAAACAACACACTAGATTAAATGGTTTCAATTGGCATTTACAGAACATTTCCCCCCAAAGTTAGAAAACATACATTCTTCTCAAGTGCACATGGGGCATTCTCAAAGACAGACCACATGTTAGGACCATACTAAGTCTCTACAAGTTCAAGAAGATTGAAATCATATCAAGCATCTTCTCAGATCACAATGGCCTACACTAAAAATCACCTGCAATAAAAGCATCCAAAAAAAGTCAAACACACGGAGATTAAATGGTATGTTATTAAAGAATGAATGGGTTACCAATGAGATCAAAGAAGAAATAAAAAACTTCCTGGAAACAAATGAAAATGAACACCCAACAATTCAAAATCTATGGGCCACAGCAAAAGCAGTACAGAGAGCAAAGTTCATAGCACTACAGGCCTATCTCAAGAAATAAGAAAAATCCAATAAACAATCTAATCCTACAACTTAAAGAATTAGAAAAAGAACAACAAGAAAAGCCCAGAGTAAGTAGAAGGAAGAAAATAATAAAGATCAGAAAGGAAATAAATGACAAAGACTAAAAAACAATACTAAAGATCAATGAAATCAAGATGTGGTTCTTTAAAAAATAAACAAGATTGATGAACCTTTAGCCAGAATCATCAAGAAACAATGAGAGAGGACCCAAATAAATAGTATCAGAAATGAAAGAGGTGATGTAACAACTGACACCACAGGAATACAAAGGATTGTAAGAAAATACTAAACATCTGTTTGCCAACAAGCTAGAAACTTGGACAAAATGAAAAAATTCCTCGAAAACTATAATCTTCCAAAGTTTAATCAAGCACCAAGAAATTTGAATAGAGTGGTAACAACCATGAAATTGAAGCAATAATGAGAAAAAAAAAAAACTCCCGGCAAACAAAAGCCCTGGTATAGATAGCTTCAATGGGAAGTTTTACCAAATAATTAAAGAAGAAATAATACCTACGCTCCTCAAACTAGTCCAAAAATCCAAGAGAAAGGAATACTTTCAAGCACTTTCCATGAGGCAAGCATTATCCTAAATCTAAAACTAAAGACACTACAAAGACAGGCCAATATCCCTGATGAACATAGAGGCTAAAATCCTCAAAAAAATATTACCAAATCAGATTCAGCAATATATTAAAAAGATCATACACCATGATCAAGTTAAATTTATTTCAGGGATGCAAGGCTGGTACAATATTCGCAAATCAATAAATGTGATACATTGCATAAACAAATTGAAAGACAAATCACATCATCACATCAATAGACCCAGAAAATGCATTTGACAAAATCCAACACCCATTCAATATAATGAAAGCCTAATATGCAAACTGTCCCCTCAACTGGGAGTTTGACTGCTCGCTATGACGTGTGCTGACCACCAGGGAGCGGCGCGGAACATGGCGGGCGTCGGCGATGTGGAGCTGGCAGCAGGTGGCAGTGGATGCTCTGCTGGCCCCAATGGGCCCCAATGAGAGCAGGACCATGGTGGGATGGTGGAGCAGGTGACGGAGCGCCCTGCCAATAGCCCTGCAGACAGCGACCAGTGGTGGCGACGAGGGGAGGGAGTGGGGCCCAGGTGCTGCCCAGGACCCAAACGTCAGCTGGGACCTTCCCTTCCACACCACACCCTCCCACTTCAATAGCCAGCCAGGCCTAGGGACGGCACCAGTGCATGAATTTCGTGAAATGGGCCTCTAGTTGTTGATAAAAACTCTCAGCAAAGTAGGAATAGAGGGATCATACCTCAACATAATAAAGGCCATATATGACAAACCTACAGTCAACATCATACTCAGTGGACAAAAACTAAAACCATTTCCCCTAAGAACAGGAACAAGACAGAGATGTCCACTTTTACCACTTTTATTCGACATCGTACTGAAAGTCCTACCCACACTAATCAGAAAAGAAAAGAAAAAAAAAAAGACATCCAAACTGGAAAGGTGGTGTAAAACTGTCATTATTCACAGATGACATGATATTATACATAGAAAACCTTAGAGACTCCATCAAAAATTACTAGATTTAATAAATGAATTCGGTAAGGTAGCAGATACAAATTTAACATCCAGAAATCGATGGCATTTTTATACACTAATAATGAACTTTCAGAAACAGAAACTAAAAAAAAAAATCCCATTTACCATTGTAAAAAAAAAAAAAAATTAAGATACTTAGTAATAAACTTAACTAGGAGGTAAAACACCTCTAATAAGAAAACTATAGATGTTTAAAAAAGATGGAAGAAGACATAAACAAGTGGAAGAATATATTGTGTTCATGGATTGGTAGAATTAGTATCATTAAAATGTCCATAATTCCCAAAGCAATCTATAGATCCAATGAAATTCCTATCAAAATACCAATGACATATTTCACAGATCTAGAACAAATACTCCAAATATTCATATGGAAACAAAAAAAAAAGCCACAGCAATCTTGAGAAAGAGGAACAAAGTTGAAGGGATCACAATACCAGATATCACATTATACTAAAAAGCCACTGTAATCAAAACAGCCTGGTACTGGAGTAAGAAAAGGCATATAGATCAATGGAACAGAACAGAGATCCCAGAAATTGACCCAAGCCATTATGCTCAATTAATATTTGACAAAGGAGGCAAGAGCGTAAAATGGAGTAAAGACAGTCTCTTTCAATAAATGGTGTTTGGAAAACTGGACAAATACATGCAAAAAAAATAAAACTAGACCACCAACTTACACCATACACAATAATAAATTCAAATTGGATAAAATACTTAAATGTAAGTCATGAAACCATAAAAATTCTAGAAGAAAATGTAAGCAGCAAAATAACAAACATCTCAAGTAGCAGAATTTTCACTGGTACAATGAGTAGGGCAAAAGAAACAAAGGAAAAAATAAACAAATGGGACTACATCAAACTAAAAAGCTTCTGCACAGCAAAAGAAACGAGCATCAAAATAAAAAGGGAACCCACTGTATGGGAGAACATATTTTCCAATGATATATCTGATAAGGGGTTAATTTCCAAAATTTATAAAGTACTCATACAACTCAAATTAGGAAGACAAACAACCCAATTAAAAAATGGGCAGAGGACCTGAGAATAGACACTTCTCTAAAGAGGACATATAGCTGTAACCGGTTTGGCTCAGTGGATAGAGCGTCGGCCTGCGGACTGAAGGGTCCCAGGTTCGATTCCGGCCAAGGGCATGTACCTTGGTTGCGGGCACATCCCCAGTAGGGGGTGTGCAGGAGGCAGCTGATCGATGTTTCTCTCTCATCGATGTTTCCGACTCTCTATCCCTCTCCCTTCCTCTCTGCAAAAAATCAATAAAATATATATATTTTTTAAAAAGAGGACATATAAATGCCCAAGAGACATATGAAAAATGTCCAACGTCACTAATTAGTAGAGAGACGCACATTAAAATGACAATGAGGTACCATCTCACACCTGCCAGAATGACTATCATCAACACATTAACACAAGTGCTGGAGAGGATGTGGAAAAAAAGGAACCCTAGTACACTGCTGGTGGGAATGCAGACTGGTACAACCACCATTGAAAACAGTATGGAGTTTCCTCAAAAAATTAAAAATGGAACGCCATTTGACCCTATAATTCCACTTCTAGGAATCTATCCTAAAAAGCCAGAAACACCAATCAGAAAGAATGCATGCACCCCTATGTTCATAGCAGTATTATTTACAACTAGAGGCCCAGTGCACGAATTTCATGCGGGGGGGGGGTGGTCCCTCAGCTCGACCTGCACCCTCTCCAATCCAGGAGCCCTCAGGGGATGTCCTACTGATGGCTTAGGCCCGCTCCCCATGGTTCTCTGCTCTCTGCAGGGCCTGCCTGCTCCACACCACGGCAATAGGCAAGCAGGCCCTGCTGGGTGCTGCCTGCATGCCATGCTTGCCTGCTCGCACATCGCCATGGCAACGGCCAAGCAGGCCCTGCTGAGTGCTGCCTGCGGGGCACGCTTGCCTGCTTGCGGGTCCCCGGGCCCCACAGCAGCCCAGGCCACTGCGAGTCCAACCCCACCTCCCTCTCCAGCCCTTGAAGCAGCCTCGGCGGCTGCTGACCAGACCCTCCTCCAGTGCAGGCCCCTGCCACCCCACCCCCGATGCTGCGTGCACAGCCTTCTCCTGTCGAGTCGATCCGTTATGGCGTCCCAGTTAATTAGCATATTTCTCTATTTTATATATATATATATATAGATAGATAGATAGCTACGCTCTGGAAACAGCCCAAGTGCCCATCAGTAGATGAAAGGATAAAAATGCTGTGGTACATTTACACCATGGAACAATATGCATCTGTAAAAAAGAAGGATCTCTTTTCCTTTGAGACAGCATGGAAGAACCTGGAAAGTATTATGCTAAGCAAAATAAGCCAGCCAGAGAAAAACAAGTATCATGTGATCTCACCTATATGTGGAATCTTGTGAACAAAATAGACCCAGAGACATTAACACCTGCAACAGACTGACCAATTCAGAGGGAAGGGGGTGAGGGTTGGGAAGAGATTAACCAAAGAACTTATATGCATATATGCATAGCTCATGGACAGATAATAGTACAGGGAAGGCCTGGGGAGGGGGTAGGTGTAGGGTGGAGGGAGTTAATAGGGGGAGAAAAGGGGACATCTGCAATACTTTCAACAATAAAGATAAATTTTAAAAAATAAAAAAGATGTGTTAGACACTGTTGCATAACCAAGGGATATTGCAAAGTCACCTGCAATCAGCTTGGCATAAACTAATTATGCTGTCATTCTGTCTGCCACTGACAATGTTTAAGACTTAGCTCATTAGCCCAATTCTGGCTAATAAGATCTAAATCACAGTCTGCCAGAGCCTCTGGGAAAAAAATTTTATCAAAAAATAAAAAGTTGTGTGGAAAAAATGCCCCTCTTCTTCAGTGGGCAAAATAATTTTATCTTCCTTGTACTCCTGTATCTATTTTATAACGTCAGTAGGAGAGAATATGACCTACCTATAATTAGCTATGGGTTTCTTATTAGATTACATAATAATCACCTTTAGAGTTTAAATCACCTTTCATCAAGTATTCTAATTACTACTAAATTTTTTTTCTATTGATATAAATGGGTTGGCAGAGATAAGAAGAAACACATTAGTCCCCTATGAAAATATGAATGATGATGGTGATGATAAAAAATGATGCCAACAGCTGACACAAAATGTTCATATGTGCCATGACATTTACAAAATTCTCATATCTGACCATTTTCATATAACTCACCTGTTTCAGAACACTCCATGGAAAAGGTATTATTATCACAGAATTTTACAGATACTAAACTGACACAGATAAAGTGGAGTGGGAGAGGCAGGAGGGGAGGGTAAACAAAATATGTAAATTTATGTTCTGTTCATTATTAACATGAATATGCTGCAATTACGTTTATAAAATGTTGCCAACACTTATACCTTAGATATTCTTTATATAATAAGCTTTGTTGATGACGAATTACTGCAAATTTTCTGTTATACTCTTCAAGAGAATCTTCTAAATCCTTTAACTTATTTTCTTTATATTCTAGTTCCTAAAAATGGGTTTAGAAATAAGAATGTAAAAAACATCAGAATACATTTTAAATCTGAAGGTAGAAATTTATATTCTGGCAAGAGTATAGAGAACTATATAAAGGAGAAAAATCACCTTAAGTAACACAGATCATTTCTATGATTATTTTGAATATCTTTGTTTAAGGCATATGGAATGAAGCAATATATGTAAAAGAGAAGTACTATAAAACAGGTAAAAGTAATTTTATCATATATGATAGTTACAGTAACCACACAAATTATCAGATGCAGTAGTTGTATACTTACCTTTAGTCACTCAGTCCCACATACCCTTTCATGAACATCCTATCTAATAATAGAGAAACATGGTAATTAACCGTAGCTCCGCTACCCTTCCCATTGGCTAATCAGGGCAATATGCAAATTAACTGCCAACCAAGATGGCGGCCGGCAGCCAGGCAGCTTGAAGCGAACAGGAGGCTTGCTTGCTTCAGTGACGGAGGAAGCCAACGTTCCCCGCCTGCCGCTGCTGGCCTCTGAGCTTGCAGTTTAAGAAACATTGTTACAAATACAGAAGCTAAACAAAACCCCAGAACCTGCTTTCAGCCAGCCGGGCCTCAGAGTTGGAGTTGAAACAGTGTTTCGATTATAGAACCCAAACAAACCAGA